GAGAGAGAGAGAGAGAGAGAGAGAGAGAGAGAGAGAGAGAGAGAGAGAATGCGTTGAAGTCCCACAGATTCAATTAGGGTACACTTTGGACTGTGCTACCGTGGACATTGTCCTTGTAGACCAAGTCAAATCTACTTCCTCTTTGGAAATGGGGTCTGGAGCAGACATTGAAATGTAGGTGAGGGACATTTTTCACATCTCAAATTGTTCTCACAGTGGCACACAGAGATTGGAAAGGTCCAACAGGGTGACTTTGGGTCATCCCTTCTTAGTTCCTGTCACCCTGACTTCTCCCTACTGACAGCTGCTTAGCCAGGCCCATGCTGAGTACCTTCCTGCTTGTCGATGACGCCCAGTGCACTAGCATCCCGGATGAACAGATGCCCATTGCTGAAGATGCCAAACATGGCTGCATCAACATGGGTAAAGTAGAAGAAATAATTCAAGTCATTGCTTCTCAGAGACTCCAGAACACCAAGGAGCTGGTAGGCGAGGTCAGCTGCCTCATCTGGGGGTGCACCGTAGAATTCCTGTAGGGGTCTGGTACTGGTGCTGACAAAGAATCTGCCACAGGAACCCAGATACTTGGGCAGTGGCCATCCCTCCGCCCCGGGGAAGATCTGTCAAGCCAGAGGAACAGACATTAGAGAAAGACAGAGAAAAATCTCAGAGACAGCTCTCTACTTCTCACTGAGAACTCCCAGAAAAAAAAAACCCATCAACCTTACAACGGCACCTGGTTTCCAAACCCATCAGCAAAGTGTCTTTCCATCTTTTTTATGCCTCTTGAATCTAGCAATACTCTTGCCCTTCCCCCATTAAAAAATTCTATTGCACATGGAAAGATTTTGGAAGGATGCTGCTCTCATTTCTGTGCAGTGGAGTGTATTGCAACAGTGTTTCCAAATGAGGTATGAGAATGCTGATGGGTCTGCCATGATTTCAGCAGTACTCAGGATTCCAGAGAATATGCTGGAGAGTTGTATCATTGCAAAATGATGACTGGTCTTTGAGATTTCACACATATCACTGCTTAAAGATTCTGGAGGAAAATAATATAGGCTCCACTTAAGAGTTATTGAAAAGAAAATGTTTTTTTTTTTAAAAAAACAACAGTTCAAGTCAAGTGCTGGTGGCTCATGCCTATAATATCAGTTACTAAGGAAGCTGAAATCTGAGCCAGTCTAGGCAGGAAAGTCTGTGAGACTCTTATCTGCCATTAGCAACCAAATAGCTGGAAGTAGAGATGTGGCTTAAGTGGTAGAATACCAGCCTTGAAGAAAAAAAAAGCTAAGGGACAGTGTCCAGGTCTGGAATTCAAGGCCCAGGACCAGAACTCAATCAACTAATCAACCACTCAATCAATCCTACTGATTTTCTTGAAATATAGATCAAAGTTGTCCTCCTTACAAAGAATGAACAAATATAGCAGTAATATTCACTAGACACTATGTTGAAAATGAACTCTACAACTTGTGAGAGGAGACAGGAAGGAAATACTGGGAAGGGGTGATATTGTCTAAAAAGAATTGTACTCATTGCTTGACATGTAACTGTAACCCCTCTGTACATCACCTTTATAATAACAACTTTTTTTGCCAGTCCTGGGGCTTGAACTCAGGGCCTGGACACTGTCCCAGAGCTTCTTTTGCTCAAGGTTAGTGCTCTACCTATTGAACCCCAGTGCCACCTCCAGCCTTTTCTATTTATGTGGTACTGAGGAATTGAAACCAGGGTTTCCTGCATGCTAGGCAAGCACTCTACCACTAAGCCACATGCCCAGCCCATTAAAATATTTTACAAAAAAGAAATCACACAAGGAAAAAAATATTGCTGTCCTTCACAAAGCCCTTTGGGGCTGCCTCAGTCAGGGTGGGCATCTGCTGTCCCCTCCTACTCCAAATCTCTTTCCATGACAGCACTCAAAGCCCTTTCACATGGCAAAAGCCATCACACAGTTCCTGAACACCCACAAAGGTACTAGCATGGGGTTTGTGACTATCAGGCATGCAAGCAGTAAAGGGGGAGAGAGCTCAGCCCAGGGTGGACACCTGGGAGTCCAAGGTAGCCCCCAACATGGAGGACTTGTGAGTCACCAAATACCTGTAGGAAGATGGGATGCGCATTGACAGCCAGTGTGTAGAGAAGGCGTAGCTTATCACGGTCAGTGAAGTGGTCCATGAAAATGCTGCCAGCATCTGCTACCTCAGCATAGCGCCGAACCACCCGGTCCAGGAGTCTTTGTGAAGGGCAGCGCAGGAAAGGACTGGGAAGGCCCTGCAGCCATGTGAGAGAGATCCCCGGAGGGGAAAAGGATGTTAAGTTCTTGTGGAGGGCACAGACAGGTTCTGCTGGAGAAGACGTCATGGTTGGAGTGGGTAGTAGAAGAGAGATGCCCCTAGGAGATGGGGGAGGGTGGTAGGCAGGAGGAAGGGAGGGGAAACTCCCGGTAGGGAATAAAAAGCCTAGGTGAGGTGTAGAAATTGGGGAGGGGGCAGAAGTAGAAGATGTCACATATAGGGGACCACAGTATGAGGATGAGTCCAGGCTTTGGAGCTGCCTAGTCATTACAGGTGTGTGTTACTCAAAGGTGACCCATTGGCAGACATTGAGGCCTGAAAAGCGTGAGAACATGGTTGGCCTGCCGCAGTTGGGCGAAGGAAGTTAACATTCTGGAAGTTTTCAGTGTCAGAGTTTATGCTTGTGGCTTTTTTCCCAGGCATTCTCTATCAGCACTTTAGTTCTTTCTTTCCCTAGTGAATGCCCTGGAAATTAAAAATGATGGACTGAAAAAAGCCTTAAAAAATTTGTAGAAGGCATAACATTAATCATGCACCCTACTCCAACAAATGCAAACAGTGGACCAAATTATCACATGATCTAGTAGGCCGATTCTATTTTCCAGACAAGAACAAGGCCTATGAAGGGGAAGAGGCTTGGCAAAGATCATGCTGCTTATGGGTGCCCAAGCTTTTTTCATATCCATACTCCAGTAGGCAGAGAGAGATTTAGTGAGAAGAAAGACAGACAGACAGAGAATGAGATAGATAGATAGATAGAGAGAGAGAGAGAGAGAGAGAGAGACAGACAGACAGACAGATAGACAGACAGAGACAAAGAGAGACTGAGAGAGAAGAAAAATTGATTGTACAATGAGCAATGTGTTCCAAACTTGACTGATCGTCAAAACCTTCAGAGTACTATAAAAATATAAATCCCAGCTGGGCACTGGTGGCTCACATCTGTAATCTTAGCTACTCAGGAGGCTGAGATCTGAGGATCTCAGTTTGAAGGCAGCCCAGGCAGGAAAGTTTGTAAGACTCTTATCTTTAATTAAGCACCAAAAAATTCCAGTAGTGGAGCTGTAGCTGAAGTGATAGAGCACCAGCCTAGAGTGAATAAGCTCAGGGATAGTGCCTTGGCCTTGAATTCAAGCCCCTCCCCCCTCTCTTTTATACACATATACACAATGCATATATAGTATATATATATATATATA